GAACCACACGGTTCAGGGTTTGGGGTTTAGGGCTTAGGGCTTAGGAATAAATACTTAGTTTACTCCCTCAGAATTCTCATGTAATTTGTTAATGTCCTCCAAAACCTCATTGCAACCCCCAAGATTGAAAAACCTTGAGACCTTAGACCCGAAACCCTAAACCCCTAAACCCTAAACCCCTAAACCCTAAACCCTAAACCCCTAAACCCTAAACCCAACCCTAAACCCAGCTAATCCAGGCGGGAGCACTTCAAGCCTTCGAGCCCGGAGAATATCCTTTTTGGCCTCTTCATGCTGTGGTGGGGCTGGATGCTGGGTTGATGTTAAGGACCTTTCTTTCAAAATATTGTACAAAGAAAACACCAGTATCTACTATGTAACCATAATATGGTACCCTACACCCTGAACCCTAAACCCATAGGATAGTAACTGAATCGAACCCATATTATAGTAACTTAATCGGACCCTAAACTCATATTGTAGTGACTTCATTTGAGTAGTATTTTATTCGGGGATACTATGGTACCCATTATAGAGTAAGATTATATCCTCCTTGGGGGGTATAGTATTTTATATACACAATATAATCTTAATAGGTTCAACCACCAAAAAACACTACTCATAATATAACCCCAATATATACCCTATTATAATATAGTAGTTTCCATTTTCTTTTCCATTATTCCCATATACTCCCAATATATACCCTTGACAGCAACCCAGGATTGGTTTCAACTGTGGAAGCTCCTTCGGAATCACGGGGCTTAGATGGATTGTGGCCACTCGAGCCGGTGTCACCACAATCTGCTCCACCGCAGGTGGTCGAGGGTTTAGGGTGTAGTGCTAGGGTTTGGCGTTTAGAGGTTTAGGGTGTAGGAATGCTAGGGTTTAGGGGTTTGGGGTTATAGGGTTAAAGCTAACTAACAAGATTGCAGTCCTAGGTTCTCTAGATAGTATTTACGGTATAGGCTACCTCAAACAGACCTCGGAGTGATATTGGCAGGATGTATGCCCTACACTTACCTGGAGATCCAGTTGAGTACATGATATCAATTTGTTCCCACATTCCTACCTTAAACCCTTAACCAGTACTCCAGGTAGTGTTTAGTTTAGGATTAGCGCTAAAGCCCTCGGCCTCCAATTCCTGTTTTAGGAGCTGTGCGCGAAGTTTGCTACCCGTATAGACGCTTCAGCGGATCCTTCCGTTATCCTTGAACGGCCCCCCAGTACATCAGGTTCAGTCAGAGTCAGAACATGAGGATCCCCAGCGAATCATAAACAAAATATCCCCCCCACCTGTCTGGGAAGCTCCTGAGGCTGATTTCTGACTAAACACTCAATCCCAAAACGCAAAATTCAATGCCTTACTAAATAGAGCTTTTAATAGAGCGGTTCAAAGACTAGCTTTCCCTATCTGATTGCAACGATAAGGACAGTAGGGGCTTTGTGGACACAATCAGGCGGACTCCCAAATCCCAAGCCCTAAACCCTAAACCCTAAATCTAAACCGTAAATCCTAAACCCTAAATCCTAAACCCTAAATCCTAAACCCTAAATCCTAAACCCTAAATCCTAAACCCTCAACCCTAATCCCCTTCAGGCGGTGGATCCTTAGCTTTGGTCTACACCAAGATCAAGAACAGAGGCAAGCGTCTGAATGCAGAGGAGGCAGGGGAAGATCCAACATTACTGGCATTAATCTTATTGATATTTCTTTCTTTTATTCGTATTATTATCAACTTACTATGTTCATTACTCCTAGGATTAGTATTGGTCTCATTTCAACTACTTTTTGTGGGGTTAGTTCTAAGATTATTGGTATTATTACTACTTCTATTTTACGAGTATCTTGGCTAGTATTCTTAATCTACTTATTAGTCGTACGATTAGTACGATTATGATTATTTCGTGACTGCTACTACATAACCCCTTGGCGCTGTAGTATTTAGTAGTGCTAGGTGTACCAGAAGTAGTGATGGTTGTGGTACAGGGGTTCGCACGACTAGTACGGCTACGACCCCTACGGCTACGGCTGCACAAATACTACAGTAGCAGCGCTGCGGGTTTAAGGTTTAGGAAGCACGATGCCCGATACGAGCCGTAACAAAGCAACAATTCCTGATGTTGGCTTTTTAACGGTAAGGGCAAGCTCCAAACCGCTAAACCCCTAAACCCTAAGCATCAAAACCCTAAACGCCACACTGGGCAGTTTTCTTGAGGTAGCCAATGGCATCCTTGGGTCACTGGTCGCAATCACCGCCACCTGCGCGTGTGTCCACCCTCCTGAGGCGCGCGCTGGGCTTGTTGACTTGGACATAGGGTTTTAGGGATTATAGAGTTGCGAGGGGGTATTTAGGGATTAGGAGGTTACAGGGGACATGGATAAAAAATGGAAGCTATTCTACGACTTAGGGGTACGCCACTGTTTGAGCCAGCTACGCAGTCTGCATCTGCGTGCGGTGTCGACGAATCTCAAGTGTCTAAGGCCCCCCAAGACTTGATCACTGACCCCCCGCATGTGGTTTCCGGTACCTTAAAAAACGGACCCCCCTCCACACATGCTTTCCTGTACATCCACTGTCCCTCATAGCCCTCATATCACTAAAGTATAAATGCAGTATAACGAACCTTCATTAGTTGGGCAACATTCTCTTCCGACTGCTAGTTACTTTTCCCAATCCCCGGATAAGCCATATTATTTAGACCTCCCCTGAACCCTCCCCCCCGCCTTAAACCCTAAGCCGCAATCCTGAGCTTCAGAAGGCCTCTCCTAGGTGCGTCAGCTATGTTCGATCAGCAGCACAAAAGCCGGCTTATGAAGATTTCCCTTGATAGAATTTGAACCAATGTTGATTTTCGTTGGTTTGATTTAGCCAGCTGAGCCAATTTGAGCCTTTTTGGAGCCCATGGGGGCTGAAGCCAGCTTATTGGAGACAGCTTGGGCGTTTTGGAGCAGAGGTGGTCCTTTTGGAGTCAAGTGGGCCTGCGGGGTTTGGAGCGAAAATGTGGTCTTGGAGACATTTTGTGTATGTTTACGATTTTTTGGAGCCTAAACCCTAAACCCTAAATCCTAAACCCTAAATCCTAGACCCTAAACCCTAAACCTCAAACCCTAGGAGCCTTTTGGGGAGCCAACTGGGGCTCTTTGGAGAAGTTGGTCTTTGTTTAAGAGCCGGGGACCTGTGTGGCGGAACCTCCGGTTTTGTGAGTTGGCCAAGAGCGGGGGCACAGCCAAATTGCAGGAAGGCCCATACTCGAAGATTCAAGTTTAAGAAGCACACCCCTTGAGGAAGGCTGCATGTACATTGCCTGGGGTGCCCTTGCGCTGGCGAACCCTGAGCCCTAAACCCTAAGCCCTAAACCCCTAAATCTCAAATCCCAAACCCCTCTGCGGGCAGCGGTACAGGCTCTGCTGATTGGCTTCGTCGGCGCGGCTGTTGCCCTGCTTTCCATCGACTTGACGCTAAGAAGCAGGGGTATCAGGTTTAGGGTTTAGTTTAAGGTGTAGGGTAGGGTTTACGTCATGTACGTTTAGGGTTGCCAGAAGGTTTAGGATTGAGGGGTTTTCTTGGGTTTGGAGACCAATACCTTCTCTCAAAGATGCATGGAATCCCAAAGAGGGGTTCCAGTTCTTGAGCTAGGGTGTGTCAAGGGTTTGATGAGTGTGGGCGTATCGTGGAAAATCCTGTGCAAGACCTGTACCCTAGCTCTTAGGCATTTAATTGGGAAGATGACGATAAGAATTTCTCAGAGGTTCTGCATATGTTGAGTAGCAGGATGCACATACACAGCCATGCGTCATGTAGAAGGATGTGATGAAGAATGTTGTGCCACGATTTGATACTTTCCTTCCGCCTTGAAGCCGTCAGAACACATAGTCTTGGTCAGCCGTCTATCTGAGCAAACTACAACGACCTCGTCCGACCTCACCTTAAATGGGGTTCGTATGGAAAATAGACCCAACGTGGCCTTATTTCAGGATTTGGGATTCTTGTACTTGAGCCAGACTCTGTGGTCATCATAGCATACAGAGCTCTGCAAGCCTGACTCTAGTTGGTCACGTCATTACTACACCCTGGCCCAAAACCCTTCTATAGCAGCAAACCAAATCCTTCCAAGGCTCATTCGGCACCAGGGTTTTCAATGTTCTTTGTTCAGTTGGGGGGTTGGGCACTGCGGGCTCTTCGTTGCAACAATCTGTAGACCAAGAAGGTACGTAATCATTTCGGACGACGTTTAAATGTTCCCGTTGTACTAGAGAAGTTGTCAAGTTTTGGCAAGATGCAGTTTGGCTTGCCGGAATACATGAGCACGCGCTCACATTCCGAAAGCTTACACCAAGAAACCAAAAGGCCCTAAAGTTGAAACCTTAAACTGAAGCCCAAACAATATCAATAGTAACAGTAATAACCATATTAATAGTAAGACCAATATTAGTAGTAGTAATAGTACGAATAGTACGAATAGCACTAATAGTAATAATAGTACTATTAGTAATCATAGTGGTAATAGAAATATTAGTGAATAGTAATGTTAGTAATATTAACAACGTTCATTCAAACGCGGCGCTCCAAAAGTCTGAGCCTCGCGCGGCATGCATCGGAGCTCGTCGATAGGGCCAACACACATCAGAATACACCTTCCTAACAATGACTTACTGGGGGTTAGTAGGGAACATGGGAATACATTATATAGGGGCTTTATAGGGAATATATTCTCTTATTCTCTACTAACCACCAGTAAGATGATAGATAATAAATAGAAGTCATAATACCAAGAACTCATAGTACTAGGCCAGCAGTCAGCTATCACGTACCGAGAAAGGTGTTAATTTTTTGGGTAAACGGAATTACATAGGAGCCCTTGGGCAGCCGCAGGCAAACTTACAAGAAGTAAGGTTGTGGACGTGCCTAGCTGTTGGTCTTGGACACGATGCAGCCCTCCGCCTACACGCTTCGGGCGACCCAATTTGGGTGATTAACTTTTGACTACCGACCTGACTGCAATCGGGGTTGCTGTTGCGGAACATCTTTAAACTACGATACTGAAGGAAACCCCCCAATATTTGCTATATACCTATATTATGGTAACCTAATTTAAGCTCCTTCGCAGCCATCCAGGCATGCGGGCTTATAACCTTATAATCCCTTTATAACCCCTATGTAACCCCTATAGTTTCTATTTTCTTTTCCATTATCCCCATATAACCCCAATGTAACCCAAAGCCCTTAACCATGGCTCCAAAGCCTAAACCCTAAACCCTAAACCTAAAGTCCTAAACCCAAAACCTGAAATCCTAAACCTCAAATCCTAAATCCTAAACCCTGAACCTTAAACCATGGCTCCAAAATAGTGGTATGGCCGGTGCCTTGTTTCACTCATCCAGAGCTTCACTACAAGGGGCAGCTTGGTTTAGGGTTTAGGGTTCAGGGGTTTAGGGTTTAGGGTTTAGGGGTTTAAGGATTTGTACTTATGAGCCTACGCCCTGCAGATCCCTCAGCCCTCAAGTCACAGATGTTCGAACTCCTCCTTCCCCTCCCTCTGAGATCCTACTTGGAGGGTCGAGGAGACTTAGTAAGTAGGTTAATAGCCCGTACAACCCATATAGTAACCCTAGTTACCCCCCTTATTAACCCATTTGCTAAGACCCCCTGACCCTCCAAGTAGACCTTAAACCTCCTCCCCCATCCTGACCACGAGGATGGAGCGCTTGCAGATTGATGATCCTGTTGGGGCAATCGGCGTGCATGGTGCCGCTGCAGTAACTTGACCTCCCCTCGTCTCTTTGTCTATAGGTTAGGAGGACCCCCCACCCTGTAATAGTGGTATAATAGGAATATAAGAGGACCCTAATATAATGCCTATTATCCATAATAGTCACTATTACTGGGTGGGGGGTCCACCTAATATGTAGTCTTCTTGCTTATCTTACTCCTTTGTCGGTGGATTACAGGTGTCGGCAAAAGGGCTCAGACATGTCTTCTACAAAGTTCACAAGTACGAAGCTTGTTGCACAGGAACGACGGGATTTTACGCAGGGGCTTCGCAGGTGACTCCAAATTCTTGGAGGTTTTCCAGGCCTTGAGTATGAACTATGAAACTTCACAGAGCTTCCAAGCCATTAAAGCGGTGGATGCCGGCATGATGGACATTGGAAAATGCAAAGTAATTAGTTACGAGGCCCCTGAGTTGCCGCACAAGGGCTTGTTTCTTGTTTGCATGATGCGAGGCCAGGGTTTTTTAGGTAATTGCGGCTCACGCAGAAACGTAAAGTTGCCGATGGGTCCCACGAGCCGCAGCAGATGAGCCCCCAAACCTGCAACATTGAGCAGTCTTCAAAGCTGCGAGAGATTACAGGTCCATCATTTACCACCTGAAATACTTGCTGCTGGGACCGCGAACCCACTGCGGCAAGAAAATGACAGCAAGATAGCAGGACACGACATGAGGACGTGACACGACAACATGACACGAGGACGCGGCGCGAGTCTCAACACGAGGCACAACACAAGCACGAAACGGGGCCTGGATCACACCAGAGTAGCTTCTAGTAATTTGCATAATTCATAGCTACTCAGCACAAAGGCAGGACCATTGGACGGTTTTCCGCATTTTACGACGGTTAGCGACCTGTCATTTTTGAAGGATTTTCTTGCATTCCCCTCTTAGGGGGGGGGGGTCAGAAGAACCTCCGAGCCATTCCACCCGACAACCTGCCCCAAGGGGCAGGTATCCCCCAATCCCAGCCACCAAACCTAGCCCCACGACTGGAGAGGCCCACACAGCTTCCACCCTTTATTCCTGAAAAAGCTAGGCAAGCTCAAGCATAACGAGGTGATATCCTATAGCTTCTTACAAATTGCACATATGATTATTGAGATTACGTAACGATTCGCATTCAACCTAGCTACTCCTGAATCCCTTTTTCCAGCACGGCAGTAGACCCTCCAACCTTATATCCCAAATCAAAAACATAAGATCCTAAACCCTCTGCCTTACGTTGTCGACCCTGCAGCCTAAACCCGAAATCCTAATTTAGGGTTTAGGGTAAATCCAGAATCCCAAGCTCAAAGCCTCACAGCCCTGAATCTCGTAATCCGTAGACCACGACCATGTTGAGATCGATTTGGGGCACCCTTTCATATTTTAAGGTCTCGGGTTTAGGGCAATTATGCTGCAGGGATTTGGAACCAAAATGTCTCTGTAGTTGTCCCTTCTTAGATTCCTACATCGACTTTCCACTAAATGCCCGATGGTATTTCCATTTGACTCTCCCAAGACCTAGACCCAACCCCTGCTATGTAGTTCCTTTTTGGGTAGTATATCA